TTCCATAGGTCCCATGAGCTATCTTCACTTTTTAAAATTCTTTTTGTTTTTGTTGTTATTGTTTTGCTGTTCCTTTTGGATAAGTTCCATTGCCCTGTCTTCCAGGTTGCTGATCTGTTCTTCTGCTTCATCCAAACTGTGGTTGAAATTCTTTAGTGTATTTTTTTCAGGTCAGTTATTGTATTCTTCAGTTCCATGACTTCTGTTTGATACTTTCATATATTTTCTGTCTCTTTGTTTGATGTTTTCACTGTGTTTGTCCATTCTTCTCCCAATTCAGTGAGCATCTTTATGATTTATTGAACTCTTTGTCAGGTAAATTACTTATCTCCATTTCAACAAGGATTTTTTTTTTCTTTTCTATTTTTATGTTGTTCTTTTTATTTGGAATGTATTCTTGTTTTCTCATTTTGTTTTTCTCTATATTTTTGTTTCTGTGTATTAGGTGGAATAGCTATCTCTCCCATTCTAGAAAGAGTGGCCTTGTGTAGGCGATGAAACTTTTTGTTCAACCTTGCCCTAGTTCTTGGTTGTATCTTGAACTTTGTGCTTACCTATGTAGTCTGATTTATTCTTAATAGGGGAGAGCACAAGGGTGGAATGAGCCACTTGCTGCAGTGGGACCCAGGGAGATACAACATGTGGGCAGGGTGAGCCTGCTGGCTTCAGAGAGGCTATGGGGGAGCACAGAGGGGACCCAGGACAGGAGTGAGCTCCCTGGCAGTAGTAGGGCCACCAGAGCGTGTGGGTAGGGCAAGCCAGGCTGCTGCAGCAGGGCTATGGGAGAGCAGCTGCAGCGGGGCTATGTGGGGCAATCCCTACAATACTAGCAAGGTTGAATGAGAATGCAAAAATGGTGCTTGCTGGCATCTTCTCCCCTCAAGAAAATCCTACCATACCCCTGTGTCTCCAGCACATGCTAATGAATGTCCATTGCATATAGAACGATGCTTTCCAACCTACGTTTTTTTTGGAGATTCCTGGGGTAAGTCTGTAAGACCTTTAAAAGCAGCCTTTCCATTTATCACAGCCTATTGGATGTCCAGGGTATAAGCCCTTTTGCTTTGCAGAGTCAGATATTTTGGGTGTTCATCTCTCCAGTGTAAACCCCAAGGGTTAGGGTGCCTGATATGGGGTATAAGCCCCTCACTTCTCAGGGAGAAACTGTGAGGTCCCCCTAAACAGTGATTTGCCATGTTGAGGGTAGGGATTTTAGCAAGATTATGTCTCTGCCTCTCTTACTGTCTCAATGTAGCCCTTTTATCTTTTGTTGTGGAGAAGCTCTTAAGCTAGTTTTCAAGTATATTTCAAGGGGAATTGATCTTTGTGTAGCTGAAGATTTGGTGTGTCCATGGGAGATGTTGAGTTCAGGATCTTTCTACAACATCATCTTGAACCACCCATTCATTTACTCAATATTTACTGTGCATACTATGATAGAGGACTTTCTCTTTTCTTCCATTCCTCTTACAATGCTCATATTTTACTTCCTTGAACATATAGAATATATTCTAATATTTATTTTAACAGTCTTTTCTCCTAATTCTATCATTGGTGTCATTTCTGTATCTTTTTAATTGATTGAATCTTCTCCTTATTATGTATCATATTTTCCCACTTATATACTATCCTGGTAATTTTTGATTGAGTGCCAGGTATTAATGATTTTATGTTTTGGAATACTGGATATTCTTGTATTCCTTACTCTATTTTTAGATATAGTAAGTAACTTTGGAAAAGTTTGATCATCTAATGATTGCTTTTTTAAAAATTTTTTATTGTTATGTTAATCACCATACATTACATCATTAGTTTTTGATGTAGTTCCATGATTCATTGTTTGTGCATAACACCCAGTGCTCCATGCAGAACGTGCCCTCTTTAATACCCATCATCAGGCTAACCCATCCTCTCACCCCTCTCCCCTCTAGAACCCTCAGTTTGTTTTTCAGAGTCCATCGTCTCTCATGGTTCGTCTCCCCCTCCGATTTCCCCCCTTCATTCTTCCCCTCCTGCTGTCATCATCTTCTTCTTCTTCTTCTTCTTTTTTCTTAACATAACGATTGCTTTTAGGCTTTTTTAGTGGATCCAGAGCAACCTTCAGCCTCATGTTAATGTAGTTCCATTACTGAAGCAATATTCTTCTGAAGAGGTGACTAAATCTCCTGCGTTTTAAGAAGTCTTTATACTCTGGATGGTTGAGAGGCAAATTATTCCTGGTTCTGGGATTGTTGTGCTTTATCTTTTCCAATGGTTCTTTTCCTATGCTGGAAAAGCCTTACTGGCATGCAGTCACTAAATCAGTCCTTAGTTAAAGATTGGTTGGGAATGCACTGCAGATCTCTGCCCTCTTTCTTGTGTAGCTGTCTTTTCTTATATTCTCTGATCCACAAATTCTAGTTACTTTAACCTCCTCCAACTGAGAACTCTGCCTGGCTGAGTTTGGGTTCTCCCTCTATGGAGCTACAGCTTGGAAACTCTCTTCAAGTAACTATGGTGATCTTCAGAGGTCACTGTCATGAGCTACTTGTTGATTAGTTTGAAACAGTTTGAAAACTGTTATTTAATCTGTGCCCATTGTTGGTTGCTGTTTACAGTTGGAGGGTAGATATGGTCCCTTTTACTCCATTATGGTTAAAAGTGGAATTATCCTCTCTTCTTTATCATTTCCACTAATTCCCTGATTCTAATTCTTACTTTCTTATGCTTAGAAAAGGGGTAGTTAGAGAGTAAGTATAGGCTTACAGGATTCTGTCAGAATTCTTTGGGAGTCTTTTTCAGACGTGGCATTCCTCAGAAGTGGACTGTGTGTAAAAACAAGTATATTCTATATCATAAGTTTATTAGGAGAGAGGTTTTAAAGAACTATTACTTTGGTTATATGCCTTGCTGATATTTTTAAATTGAGCTCTTGAAGGGAACATAGTCTTTACATATTGATTTCCTCTAAATCTCTTCAATGTCTAACCATGTACTTCAGAGCCCAAATCATAAATGCTTTTTCCCATGAAAATTTCCAGAGTATTTTACCCATGTTCTTTTTTCTTCTCTCCTACTATGATAGATCCTTCTTTGCACCTACCCAACATACAAAAACTTATGAATAAATTCATTAATGGAATCTACCATATCCTCTGTTACTGCTATTACTGCCAATCATATTATGAATTCTTCATGATAGGTAGCCATATCTCACTCATTTGTTGTACTTCAAACATTTAGCACAATATTCCAAATGAGGTAGGGAAATAACTCTCTTTATTAGAAAGAACACTAGAATTTAGTTAATCTGCTGTTTATATTACTGTGTAAATCTAGGTTTCTTCATCTATGATTTCAGGGGTGGGAAAATCATACTTGCAATTTTAGGTCCGTAATCTGTGAATGAGGGTAGGAAGGAAAATGGACATATGAGCTAATTGTGAGTTTTGAACCAGGTAGAATATATAAGGAAAGAGTTTTATAAGCTATAAATTGCTTAAACTTCTAGGGTATTATTATTGTTGTTGTTGTTCTACAAATTAATACTTTCTATTGACTAGAGTAAGAAATATATTGTATCACTAATTGCTGTGAAAGTTCTATCTGTATATTATATTCTAGACAAAATTGCTGAAACATCATTTTTAGTTGTTACAAATTTTAGATTAATAAAAATATGAAAAGAACATTAAAAATACAGAGCAATATATATATACATATATATATAGTATTAGTATTGTACAAACTGCTTCTGCACCCCACTCTTATGTAATTTTTGCACATTTCATGATATCTTTAAAGATGTTGGTAGAAACCGGAAAAACAGATGTTAATGAGTCATAGAAGGATAAGTATTATATTAGGATATGTGCCGATGCTTTCTGGAAAGTGAAACCAGAATTCACTGGAAAGATCATTTAGTGTATTGAAGAAATGTTCTCTTTCATTCTAGGAAATATTTGTTCTAATCCTTTCAGAGATTTTTTTTTTTTTAATTTAAACTTGTATGGACAAATAGATATCCCATCCCCTAAGGACAGATCCTAAAGGTTTTACATTAGTGGGCCTTACAATCAATTCAATCCTTCAAAATACCATTATAAGAAAATATAGAAGGAAAGCTAAAGGAGAAAGAAAAAGAGAAGGAAGAAGAGGAAATGAGGGGAATAAACAAGAATGGAAGGCAATATACAGTATAAGAAGGTTTCACACATATTAAGGGGAATTGTAGAAATTATTTAAGATTTAAATATATTTAAGGCCTTGATTACTGTAAGTTATTATAGAAAAAGTTTGAAAGACATCATTTTTATAGATAACAAAAACTAGAACTGGAGGAGAGTGAAGACTATTTCAACTCAGAAAGAACTTAGAAAATATTGCAAATTATTTATGTCCAAGAGGGAACATATCTAAGAAAAGTGGTTTCTTCTCATTAATGAATTAAATCATCATATTCAGCATTATTTCTCTAACTGCATTTGCACATAATTGTTTCATGTTACCCTCCTATTGGTATACTTATTTGCAATATAAATTGGTAACATGTTTAAATTACGTTTACTTTGAAACTTCTTTAAAGGATGTTTCCATAGAAATTCTCTTAAATGTGTCCTAGGGACCTAGTAAATAAATATGTATTGACTCACCAACATAAAAAGTGTATATGGAATTAAAATCAGCAAAACAAAATTTTTTTTGCTAATAATCAAAGTAAAAATTGAACCAATGTGCTTTTCTTTGCCTAAGATCAGTGTTAAGATTTCAACAGCTCAAATGTTATTCTTGTCTCTAAATTCAAGCAATTTTCTTGATATAATATCTTGATAGATATAATTTTAATATCTAATAAAATTGAGTTATACTGAGCTACTAAAAGTATACTTGTGATTAGAATATAGCTTTGTCTATCCAAAGCCATGTAATGATTGACAACTACTGATCAAAAAATTGAGTACAATCTCCTCCTGAGTTATGAAGTCAGATTTATGAAGATCAACCTCTGTTTTCTTCTTTAGGAATGGCAAGTTCATTGAAGAAAATGAGAAGTACATATTGAAAGGAAGCAATACAGAACTCACTGTCAGGAACATAATTAATAGTGATGGGGGTCCTTATATCTGCAGGGCCACAAATAAAGCAGGAGAAGATGAAAAGCAGGCATTTCTCCAGGTCTTTGGTAAGTATTATAGCATAGTGGTTAAAATTATGATGTCTAGAGGGAGGTCTGAGTCAAATTCTACTCTGTCACTTATATGTCACTAACTTTCTAAAATTAAATCTGTTTTCTCATCTGAAATATATTTTAGCATTGCAGCTACCAGATAGAATTATTTTAAGAATTACATGAAATGATACATGTATATTCTTATAAAATATTGGCTGACTGATAACAGAAGATGGAAGAAAATTCCTTTAAATTACACATACTGGGAATCTGTTATAACTTACAGATAATTTATATTTACATATATATATGGGTTGGTCTTCATAAATCTTTGAATGACACATGTTGAGATTAGTTGTACTTTTAATACACTTCAAAACAACACACCTATAAAGCTATAATTAGGAAATATTGACCTGTAAACTACAAGAAAATACTCCCTTTCATTCTATTAAAAGGAAATATAATATTAATATCTTCCATATTTACCAAGAGCCATATTGCCTTCTTTGGGGAACTTACAGAAAGTGAAGAACTAGTAAGGTGTTTTGTTTTGTTTTGTTTTTTGTTTTGTTTTAAATTGATTTAGCTTCCATTATGTTTGTAAGAAGAAAAGCAATTTTACTAGTGCATTTGGAATATATCATTGTCTTTAAGAAGCATAACACGAAATTGTATGCATTGATAGCATTTAATAAACACTGTTATCAAAATGCTTTCACAGCAAAGAGGGGAGGTGGGAAGAAAGGAAGATAATTCTGTGAGAATAAGAAGGACCACGATTCATGTAGAGGAAAGAGTAAATAAACTTAAAACTGTTAGAAATTATAGAAACCCTTAACTCATTCTAGCAGTATTCCCCACTTAACAAGATTGTTCTCTTTAGAACCTACACTAAATATGACTCAGTATAAAAATAAATTAATTAAAAATGATAGTTTCTGAGATAATCCCAAAGGGTAGATATTCTCAATTTACATCAGAGAGCTGTAATGAAATACTATACAGTCATTTGTTGTTGTTGTTGTTTTTTAAATAGGATGACAGTGAGTGAAAGCAAAGAGATAAAAGAAAGATTCTAATATTTTTATCTTTTCAAATGGAAAATACTTCATGATATGGTACCTCACTGTTGTAATCACTTTTTTATAGTAACACTAAACAAATTTGCATTGTGTTAGAAACAAAATCAAATATATATAGTAGAAATCCAACTAAATCCATTAAAGTCAATGGAGTAAACACTGAGTTGTTAAAAATTATACATGCCATATTTCCAGTATTAGGAACCTAGTTTTCTAAGATTAAAAACAACTTATTTATATTCCATGATTAATTGCATTTAAAGATTAAATAAACTGTTACTTTTCTAAAACACCAAATGCTGGCTTTTATCCCTTTTAAGTTCTATTATGTAAAAATTAAAGAAATGCAGATAATACAGACTTTACAATCATATAGTTCTGTGGTATCATGTAATTTTGTAGATGGACATAATTTTTAACATAAAGATAATTTAAATAAGTAGAAATAATGTATTTTCTCATTACTGAAGTCATAATTATAAAGAAATGATTAGCTACCATGCCTAAAATATTGTTAAAATAAATTGAAGTAAAAATAAGTTGATTGGGATAATATAAGAAACTAATGTATATATATATTTACTTCATAAATATTTTAAATATTGTACATAATTATACTTAACTACATATTCAAGATACAATCGTTTTCTTCTTGGGTGAAATTATTTTCAAAGCTTACGAGATAATCACTAAATAAGCAGATGTCACACGTAAACACACACACACTCATAAACAGGTACCATGTGGCTTTAAAAGAGGAAATTTTAATTTTGTAGCTTTAAGAGGAAAAAATAAGTCTTTTAAATTACAAAATTTCAAAAGGAATTATAATTTGTATGTTGGCTTGTAAGCCACTTCAAATTATCTGTATGATAATTGATGAGAATTATTTTCTAAAGCTTTTTCTCCTGTCCTTTGTGAGTCTCTTGGCACAACTTTAAAGCAAAGCATGCTGCTGTAACTGCTACAAAGTTATAATATATATTATATTATAATATAATAATTCTATACTCCACTAATGTGGACTTAAATGCCCACTATGGCTTTTGAGTCTGAATGGTAATATTTTCCTCCCATACAGATTGAGTAATGTATATATTCTTTACAGTACAGCCTCACATAATACAGCTCAAAAATGAGACTACGTATGAGGATGGTCAAGTCACACTTATATGTGAAGCAGAAGGGGAGCCTCTTCCAGAAATCACTTGGAAAAGAGCACTAGATGGCATCACATTTTCCAAAGGCGATAAGGTAATAGAAACTCAATATATAGTGATTTTCAATACCATTGTATTCTCAGAGTTTTGCATATTATTTACTCTCACACTGGACTCCAGTTTACCAAGTAATTTGTAGGAATGCAAGAAATGGCTTAAATTTTAAAAAGGTAACTCTACCACAGTCAGCCTAAAAATAAGTGGAGGAGAAAAAAGTGAAAGTGTGATATTTAAAGATGTTCTTCATTAAGCCACACAATCTTAGGTTGTTGGTGTTCTTAAGTTCGCTTACATGGACTTTCGGCATACATTGAGTCTATAAATTTTGTTATTGTAATTTTAGCCTCCCCCACCCCTTGCTGTGAAAATGAAAGTCATTCCAGTTCACCAGAGTCTGCTGTCACCATTAACTCTTTACGCTTTAGAATTGTCTTTGTGCAGTGGTAGGTTAGGTTTTTGCTTTCATGTAATTTAGAATATAATAAAGAGAAATAAGCAGAAGCACACCAAAATACAGCATTTTGGCAATTGTCATTCCCATGTAAACTGGCGACCTGTCACCAGAATGCGTTCAAATTACTAACAAATTAATAGATTTTCATTATTGTTACTTTTCATAATTATTTGTATAAAACTCCCATGTATGGACAAAAGTGAAACAGAAAGGAAAAGAGTGAATTAGTGATATGATGAATTGACATTTCACACGTGTTAAAGAGGGTAAGATTAAGCTTACAGATCTCTTTTCTTAATATTAAAGAAAACCCCTTTAAATCTTTCATTAATTTAAACCAAGTTCTATGAAAGAGTGATTTCTGCAATATAAGTACCTTTGACTTACCAACACTGATAGCAGAAAAATTTGAAACCTATTTATCTGACAGGCATTTTCTATCCCTCCAACTCATCATGTAGTTTTGAACAATATGCTAGCTCCATAGATTGACAAAACAGCCATCTCCTTGCCTATTTACTATTTATTCTTTGCAAGAATTGTATTCACATATATGATATGTATATATGTATGTATCATATATATATAAGATGTACATGATATGTATTCATATATATATATATCTATATATCACATTTCTTTGCCTCATTTCCTCCTCATGATGACATTTTTAAGAGAGTATATCTTTTTTGGTAATAGTTATACTATTTTGATGTATTTATTTTATATGTACAGATTGAAAATCAAATTCATAAAATATCTTCTGACAACCCAGAGAAACCATACAAACTTTGCTTTAACATTTTCTTAACAGAAAATCACAAATATTATTAAGGCACAGTTGTCAAATCTGAAAGTAGTTATATTTTCATAAAATTATTTTAAATAATAAAAAATTAGATATATATAACTGTAATTGTTTTTCTGTCAATTTAGTACATTTCTATAGGCAAGATCTGTCAAGAATAGTGATTTTCATGTCTATAAGCCCTTATTAATTATACCTTCATATTCCTAACTCATGCTTTCATTATATTCTTGTCCACTGTAAAACTCCTAAAAGTTCTCATCCTTTTTTTTTCATTAGTAGCTGTTTATTGATCAATGGTTTGATGTAAAGTTATTTAAATATATGGAATGCTTCACGAATTTGCATGTCATCCTTACACAGAGTCCATTCTAATCTTCTCTGTATCATTCCAATTTTAGTATATGTGCTGCTGAAGTGAGCCAGCCAGCATCTAAAAGTTCTCATCTTAAAGATGTGTTTACTCTCATTTAATAGATGTTTCCTAATGTGTATACCAACGATGAGAGATACATTATATTCAGTTATTTTATCATGAAAAGTTATCAAATAACCAGAAGGCTGTGGTATTTTTTTATACACTGTAAACCGCAGACCACTCAAAGCCATATGCAGAAATTTCTTCTCTAGTAGTTCTGAAGAATAACTAACTAGCTTTGTTTGAATAGAACTTTCTCTGTTAAAATACTCATCTTTTCTTTTTTATTTGGTTTATTTGCTACAAAACTATCATAGAAACCCATATATGCTTTTGTTTTTCCAAATGTAACTTTTATCCAGTTGATAAAGAAATTAAGGTTATTCACTTTCTATCTTGACATTTCTCCAAAATCATTTTAAGATTCATATCTTATTTTCTGCATGGTAAGCTTCCTTTCTCCTAACATTACTAGTTTTTTCAACAGCCAAAATTCAAAAACTGAATGGTTGACATGAGCTTTGAAGTAAGGCATATCTAGTTTAAATCTCAGCTCTGCCATTTGACAATATTATCTGAAGTCTTATTAATATGAGTTTCTTCATCTTTAAAATGTGAATAATAATATTTTCTTCCCTTAAAAGTATAAGAAATCTGAGGAGTATACCAAACTCTTTACATTTTGTAAATATTCAATAAACTTTTTTTTATTATATCACTGTCATATTACACAATTTTCAAAGCATAGTTTATCTTGTTTCTGTTATTCTGAATAAATTCTAGTTGTTATTGGCTCCATAAAGTCTGGTACCTAAGGTTTGATTAAACACTATCACAGAGTATTTTTAGATCATATCTCTCTTGTCACGGAAAGTATAAGATTGTATTTTCCACAAGAATCACTTGGAGATCCTGTTAAAATGCGCTTTCTAGAATCCCACTCCCCGAGGTTGACTTAGTATGTTTAACACAGGACCTAGAAGGAAATATTTAATAAACTCATAAGGTTGGTATATGGTTTGACTTCAGGCCATACTCTGGAAAACAATCCCTAAGTCACATGAAATTTAATAGCTAATCCTGTCAACAGAAAAATGCTCTTAACAGATTACTTGGCACCTGATAGGGGCTTGGGAAATATGGAACAAAACAAATCAAAACTTCCCATCATGCATACACTATCAAAGTTTTGATGAAACTGCTCATTGTGTAGGTCATAACAGTGAAACAGCATCAATGCAATGTGGCTCATACTAATAACTTCATCCAAAACTATGACCGTGCACTTAGCAAATATGGTCATCAGTGTAGATTTTCAAAGGATGGGATCTCAATTAATAGGATCCCCTTTCCTTGCCTAAATTTTCAATCACCAGATAAGACAAAAGAAATAAACGGGGATAAAATGTCATGTGGCTTGGGCGCCTGGGTGGCTCAGTTGGTTAAGCGACTGCCTTCGGCTCAGGTCATGATCCTGGAGTCCCGGGATCGAGTCCCGCATCGGGCTCCCTGCTCGGCGGGGAGTCTGTTTCTCCCTCTGACCCTCCCCCCTCTCATGTGCTTTCTCTCTCTCATTCTCTCTCTCTCAAATAAATAAATAAAATCTTTAAAAAAAAATGTCATGTGGCTTAAATCTGCAGGTCAGTTAATGTTCTTATACCATACTAGAGAATTAGATAGACCTACCCAGCACAGTCCTGAGTAGAATTAGACCTTGTAGCCCCCCACTATGGGAAACTAGGTATCACTGCTAAGGTTACCATCATGGCTGAGTGCAAGGGAGAACCTGTGGTCTCTACAGGAAGGTCCTTTCTGAAAATAAAAAAGAGCAGCTAGGAAATGCATATTCAGTATGATGCCCCCATAGTTACCAATCAAACATCTGCCTGGTTCTCATGGGGAAGAGTAAGGAGTTGGAAAGTCCAGAACTGGTATGTGTTCACAGAGCTCTCTTCCCATGGAATAAATGTTAGGTGTCCGTGAGAAGTGTTCACTGCCCAAAAAACTTTATATTTATAACATCTTAATAAGCACTATATATACATTGTCACAATTTAACTTCTGGTATTCTTACTGCATGGTAAATGACCCCAAAACATACTGGAACAAAACAACCATTTTGTTTTGCTCATGATTTTGTGGATCAGGAATTTGGGGAGGCTCAGCAAAGTGGACATCATGAGGTACCTCAAATTGCTCACATATATATGTTTTCTGTATCTATAGTTTTGTAGAATGATTGAACTATGTATATTAGTATACCATAAAATATCCTTGCGTAATATGGCATCCTTCAGAAATGACAACAAAAAATATGGTGCTTAGAGTTCTTTTAAACACACGACTCTTTCATCTAACCCATTTTAATGCATCTTATCTACATTTAAAATAGTATATGTAATTTTTACAACTTCAGAAAATTTCAAAAATATGTGTAATATGTAAGAAAAAGAATATTCACTTGCTTTAAAAATTGTTTCTTAATATTCATTGTTATTTCGGAATAACATTTTGTTCATCATTTTATTGTTAAAGAAATTTCACAGTTTTCACTAACTTTTAATTACCCATTTATTGAAAATTTCTAGGCACTTTAGTGCAACTTAAGTATTATTTATGATTCTCTATAAAAATATTGATTTACCAGGGTTATCCAGAAATTCATTACACTGACAGCTTAATATAAGCACATGATTTTGGAGTCATCTTAAGATACATTTGTTTATAAAAAATCAGAAATGCCTAGCCTCTTCATTTAATAGATACTATACACATAATCTGAATAATATTTAAACATATATAATAAAATATAGGACAAAAACCAAAGCTATTGTTGCAGAATATAAAACAGCCATGAATTAAAACGTATAAATTGCTTTGTAATTTATAAACTAAGCAATCTAATTTTTATATTAAAATCTCTATTTTTAACATCAAAAACTAATGATGTAATGTATGGTGATTAACATAACATAATAATAAAAAAATCTCTATTTTTAAAATAAAACAATGCTTCTTTCACAGAGTTGGTCTACAGATTATATAAAATGATGCTTCTACAGTGTTTGACAGAGTCCCTGGCATTAATACCTGTCATCTATTTTGAACCAGTTTCTTTAGATCATTCCTTCTTATCATTCTTATTAATCAATAAATGTTAGTATATCTAAGATTATAAGTATTGATGAATTAGTATGAGAAGTCATGCAAAATGTCACACAAATTAAAGTTTAATCCTAATTTTGTCATTTTGGTGTGTCATTCATGATATTACTTCTTATATCTGACCAGTTTTTGCATGTCTAAATCAGGATAATAAGATGTCCCTGTAAAAAGTTTCGGAAGATGAAATGA